GCACCACCTGCTATCAGAATGCAGTGACTGGATGGCCCTCAGGAGCTGGCCATCTATTTCGTATGTTCGAAGGTATGACCACAGACTGTTGCGTGGGATCTGGTCATAGGATTTTTCTAGGTCCACAAAACACATGTACAGCGGATGGGTGTACTCCCACGATTTCTCAACAGTTTGGCGCAGGGCAAATATATGGTCAGAGGTGCTTCGACCGGGCCGGAAGCCACACTGCTCGTCTTGGATCCTGAGGTCAATTATTTCACGGCACCTTTCTAGCACCTTTGCGTAGACTTTAGCTGGGAGGCTCAATAACGTTATGCCCCGTTTAACTGCCCATTTAAAACAAAATATAACAAAGAATTAGAAATAAACCTTTTGCTGACTGCTAGTGTGATGGTCTCGAATATCGATCTGGCCTGGGTGTGGCGGCGCCATTCTTTCCTAGAGACTTCCGAAGGACACATTTAGGCCTGAATGTACGTAAGAGTGGTGTGTCTGGGACTCGGGTGTAAAACACTGTTGAACTGAATAAGGCATGTGAAACGAGAGTCCGAAAAAAGTGTCACACTAGCACACCCGTGGATAAATTATTCTATCATGATTTACGTACAACAACGAAGATCAAAAAGATGTTATACATGAAACGAGGTTATCGCTGCAGCCTCCACCCTTCTTCAGCTAAAGAGCGTAAATCATGCATTCGTGAACATCATATAAAAGAAAAGGAAAGAAATCCAGATTTTGCCTTTAACTATTCCTGCAGAGAAATAGTCCCCATAACAATCGATCATATTTTAGTCATAATATCCAACAGGTACCAGGAAAATGAGCACGCATGTTAAGAATTTCCTTCATTCTTCTGCTGACTTTTCATAAACACTGGGCGTGTCTTGCCTGAAATTTCTAACCTCTGCTCTTAGTTGCAGTATAATTTATACTATAGATCAATAACACAAAAAACACTTTTCATAAGTGTCTGTCAGCATGACTGTGGGACATTCGTCGGTGAAACGAGGAGGATCTGGTAGCAATGCAGTGATTGAACAGATCCATGTCATTTCAACAATTCAGATTTCCAAACCCATCTCGATCTATAACATCACATTTGCTGAATTTTTCATGCCCCGCAGCTCTTCAAGGCAGTGGAGATATTTAACCGATAAATCAGGAACTAAAGGTCATGCAATCGCTCGGGCACATCCGGATCTGACTTTTTTGTCTGAATACAAAAAGATGAGACTGGCTCTTGGGTTGAATAAAACTGAAAGTTTTGATCGTAAAACGTTTTATTTAAAGATCTTTCAGAGCACCGTTTCTGTGCATGTACGCTAAAAATTAAAATGATTAAAACCGAATTCGTATTTTGTCGCATTTCGATTGCATAGCGCTTCTGAAGCCAGACAGCATGCTTATTAATGTTTGACGGTCCAGCTAAAACTTCCAGCCGCAAAACAAAAATTTTTACGCGAAACTGTACCTAACTCTTATAACGAACAACTCCTCAAGATGAAGAATTTTTGTGCTCTCAGATACGCGTAATGTAATTAATTCTTATTAGGATTAACATAATGAAATGAATTTTCATAATTACAAACTTTCTGCAAAGCATTCGTCATAATTTCACAACCTTCCCAAAAATTTCCCAACGTAAATTAAAACTGAATTTTGTTCATCAAACCAAGAAACAACTAATACTCCGGCTTATTCAGCAAAGATATAAGTTGCGCTGAAACGTCCAAGGTGAAGTAAAACGTCACTTGGGCTATGAAGACTTTACTTAATGCTTATCAATATTCATCTAACGTTTAGAGCAAACTAATTAAGGAAAGTAGGATATGGCCAAAAGAAGGCAATGCAATGAAAAATGTCCAGTGCCGCACATCGCCTCATTGTCTAATGAGTGTTCTTAAAGCAGACTAATAGAAATCATTTACAACGATCAGAACTACCATACCCAAAAGTTTTAAAACACTGATCCGTTCAGTTTCGTCGGATACAGGTTTCACTGTATTCGACATACTGGTTACATGATTGACCGCGACAATAATCATCAAAAATGCAAGAAATGATGCTCGACATTAATGTTCCAAACTATGCACAAAACATGAGGAGTAACAGTGAATCGCAACACTTACGGAATACAGTCTTCTTGCATATACACGTCATCAGAATTGAGGTACAAATCAGACAGATCCTAAATTTTAGTGAATATAACGTCACAGTCAACCATTATTAACGCAACAACACTATGATACCTTCAACTTGCAGCATTGCAGACTGTAAATATGACAACTAAGAACTTCATCCAAATGTTGCTTCGCTTGCTCCAGCTCTTCTTCGGCAACAAGAATCATGCGTAGTACCTAGAAAACGCAAGACACACTTATATTAGACGAAAACTATGCGAACAAATGTGAATCGGATTCCGCTAGTAGTCTCTTGCATAGAAATCAGCATTGTCAAATATTCAGGAAAGTTATCTCAGATGCAGGTTATTCTGTCATAAGCGTGGTTTGCGCAGCTTCATGGAACCTCATAGGCTACGCAAACATAAAAAGAACAAAGACCAATTACCGGCGTTTAAACCGGTCATGAACCTCATTGCAAGGGACAGAGGGAATGGTACGATTGTTTTGAGAGCGGATAATCGAATAGCAATATGTCGCTGCTAAAATTGACTAATTATCCATCTACTTGAAGACTAGTGCAAGGATATGGTCGCAAGTGCCCCGTAAAATGATAGGCGGGTGAGCACTGCACTGTATCAACGGTTCCACTTAACCCTATCAACTGCATTATCTTCGATCATGTCCCAAGGCGAATATGAACAGGAACACTGAATGAACGTTTAACATTAAAATAAACAGCATTAGGGCTAAAGCCCATGTGCACATTTTTACTGTCAATAACCTGGGTTCTGTGATAGGTGCAACCAAAGTTATGATGTAGTGGCTCGATGATGCACTAGAAATAGTTCTATTTCTGCTAACCTATTCCAAACATAACTACTCTGAATTCAAAATTGTCACTTTATGAGCCATTTGCAATATCTTTAATCTCAATAGGCGAGAATACGTCACGGACAATACGCCCGGGTGCGAATCAGTTATGCCGTCGCTTCGAATGCACCACTGAATCTTGCATCACGGGCAGTGCCCTCCAGTCAGTGTCATTCAACTGTCACTGTCACCGATCACTGTCATTCAACACCCCGGTCAACGATGCATACGCGTACTTACGAATGTAACGGTACTCGCAGTTAGGCAGCCATTCGAAAAGTTTATTGCAAAAAAGTCGCAACATATTTTGACTATTGTGGTCGCGCAGATTTTGTTATCGCAGTCGCCTGTCAATCGTCGTCACCTTCATTTTTATAGAAAAAAATCTGTTACGAAAAGGGCGGCTTCTACGAACAAGAGAAATATTCTTTGTTAAATGGTACCCTGCTTGACGAACTGTTAGTAATCAGCGACTTCACCCTCGAATTATGGGAAGACATACCTAGC